AAATCCCAAAATACCCCCCTGTATCTTTAATGTAGCACATTCTGTCTGCTCTTCACAGCTTCTATCACAGGTTCGTAACTCTAACCCTTTCACTGTCTGAGCTGCATAGTTAAAGAAAGCAAGTTTAAGAAGAAACATTGGATAAGAAAGTAATGATGGTTAGAAAGCTGATGCCAAGATTGTTATCATGCTGGAATCCTGATGTCATCTGGACCCAAACGTAATCACTTCACCTTCTTATTGTGCAGCTGCATACAACAGCACTAATATATTTCTTGGGTGATAAGAAAATCTGTTTTTCTGGTTGCTGTCTTTCTATCAATGTACATTTTAGAAACCTCTTGTCTTTGATAGAGTTATCAAAAACAATTTTAGTAAAAAAATAAAACAAAACAACAACAACAACAACCAATTTTAATGCTAAATTCAGCAGTGTGTTGAAGCTAGTGGCCAGAAACATCTCAATAAAGAACAATTTTCCTTTCCTCCAGATCATAGCCTCACCTGGTTCACCACACTATGTGAAAGGCCTGTGAAATACACTCTCTCCAACACTGCACCCTAACCAACTTTTGCTATATGAGAACCAGTGAGTCACTTCACTCTAGTGACCCCTGTTGGCATGACACAGGTACAAAGGATCTCAAGCTTCCTTCCATGGATGGCTTGGCTTTCACTACTTTTCACGTAGAGGTATTAGTGTACTTAGGACTTAGGTGCACATTCCTGAACTCATGGGATAATTTATTTATTTTTTTTGATGAATCAGTTTCACAAGCTTTCAAGCAGAGGTATTATCAGTTAGGACATGGCTGGAAATTTCTGAAATCATGATCATATGCATGTGTCCAAATGAGTCTTATCAATACAGAGGATGATTAACTGAGAGCAATTACAGAAGGAAATCTGGAATGCCTTCAGCAGCAAGAGACCCAAGGCAGATTGTGGTTGACTTTCTTGCTCCTTGCCTGAGGTGGAAACACTGTGGCCAATTCATATTGGGCAATTCTTCGCTGCCAGACTGCGTGTGGGCTACTCACCCAGGCCCATCTACAGTTTACCTTCACTGTCTGGCTCTATCTGATCCATACCCTAAATCTCACCCAACCTTTCTAATACCACCTGAAGAACAAATAGGGAAGGCAGGTTTAGTGAGAACTACTCCAGAACTTGCTTATGGGAGAGAAGCCAATATATAGAATGATGGTTGAGCAGAAGGTGGAAGAATGCATTTGTTGGCTCTGAGATGCAATATAGTAAATATAGCTAAGAGACTTGAGACTAGCACAGCAGACTGCAATTTCAGAGAGAAAGCTGGACCAAGAATGTCATTTCGGGCTATAATTATAGATAAGAACCAGGAAGCTAACTTGCTCATCATGAAAAAAACAGACAGACAAACAAACTAACGAAAACAGACTGCTTCTTGTTGGAATGAGAATAATTCTTACAGCCCTGCAAACGTTAAGAAGTGCTGGTGCCACCTCGAATTCCTCGGGTTGCCACTGGAAGACTTAATACCCTGCATAGGAAGAATGTGGAGGAAAAGAGAATGACCGGAGGAGAGGCTGAGCTAGGTAAGTCATGTTGTTATCGTTTTGGGAACAAAAAGGCAGGATGACTTTTATCAACCAGTTTCTACTGACTCAAGAGCTAATAATGTCCTTGAACTTCTGAGTTTGCTACAGAATGAGGAGATCTGAGCTCATGCCTGGCCTTTTGGCCTTGGAAAAAGCATTCAGCTTTCCTGAACCTTGGGTTTTATTTAGAGAGTTCTTTAAAAATTGCAAAATCATACTGGACTTTTGGTGGCCTCATAGCATCAGGGATAATTGAAATGCCCTGATAAGGATGACTAGCAGGCTGGGTAGCAGGTTACATCAAATGAGATAGGGGGGATTCAGCTGGTCTTCCGTTGTCTTTAGAATCAGTGTTCCTGGTAGCTGAGCTGGTGTCCATGGCTTCTAGTTCAAAGCACTGGGAGAAATTATGGCTGAACTGGTATACAACCTGTGGGTAGCTGGGGTCCACCCATACCCATAGAAGAGGAGGCTTGATAGGAAAGAGATCACAGTTCGTGAGGGTGATAGGTCAAGCTTGTCATGAGATCTCCCCCATTCTTTCACAATTCAAGGTTTCTAAAAGAAAGTTCTAGGTGTCTTGTGGTCTGAGTTGAAAACACCACAATTTTGGTAGCACAGATCCTTTGCCTGAGGTGATCTTGGGACAAACTGAACATCTGCATTTAGTTAACAAACATTGGGAGTTAGTTCTATGTGAGACTGTTCTTTACATGGTAGATAGGAATGGCAAATTCTTCCCATATGCTATTATCATTTCTGGAGCTTTTCATATATTACCTAGTTTGATGCTTATCACAACTCTAGTATTGTCACTTGTATTATTCCACTAGGCACTGAGGAGTTAAGTATCTTGCTCAAGTTGTATGCCTGGGAGGTCAGGTCTGGACTTAATGCAGATAGGTTCTTATGGAATCAGAGCCTATGACACAGGTCAGATCCTGTCCTCAAGGGGGTTGGGATCAAACAGAAAAGACTGAGTACTAGTATTTTAGGTATTGATAAGTGCTCTGAGGAATAAGAAGCAGGTAGCCACAAAGGAAAAACACATCTTGGCAGTGTGGCTGGATTCCTCTGGGAAGAAGGGGCATGAAGGTTGGCTTTGTTTCAGGGCCAGCAATGGGAACAGTGTGGTGAGTAAGGGGAATGAGAACAGTGAGGGCTTCTGAGGATCTGATGAGAATTTCAGGTTTTATTGTCAAGATGCTTCTTTGATGTCTCTGGGGGTGGGGTGGGGAGTTCAACAGGACAGTGACTCAATCTGATCTTTCTCTGGAAAAAGATCATGTTAGTGTGTGAAGAAAACCCAGAGGACACAATGAGGCAAATGAGATGGAAATAACCGTGGCCAGTGCAGAAGATGACTAGTGACAATCTAGTCTCTTCTTTCCTTTAGGCCTTTGTTCTAAGACCAGCTTATGTCTGCCTGTAGCAAGCTGGCTCAGCAAAGGCTCTACTATGGTAAATGTGGCACTTGGATTTAGAGGATTTGACAGAAAAGGAAATTAAATAGAAATTAGCTGGTTACTCAGAAATAACTGACTTCTAGGTTTTCTAGTTCAGTGGGAGTGCTGCCTTAGGTCTCTGCCTTGGGAACATGTGTCTCTACTCGTTTACTATGGAAACCCTGGTCTTGGAAGGAGGCAGTGTGCATCTCTCAGCAGTCAGTGGGCTGTCTTGGGGTGGGCACCCCCACCTTGCAGTCCATTCCTGATGTCCTAGCCTCTTTTCAGTGTATGCTCACTGGAAATATTGGCTGAAGGCCACAGTCTGCATGGTATTTTTATTTTTTGGTTTGTTTTCTCTTTGCAATTTTGAGGACAAATTTTAAGGGCCTTGTGCACCTTACGCCAAATGTTCAACCACTAAGCCATGCCCCAACTCTGGCTTATCCTTTGAGAGTAGCTTCAGCATTTCAAAGTGAGAGGTTAACACAGACAGTCAAACATGACATGAGAGATGATGGCAGAGATTCCTTACAGGCTTCCTTTCCAATAGTTTGTATTCTGATCATATTTGCTTCAACACAGAGAAAGTACCAAAGAACCAAATCCTTGTGTATCTATGTAATACACAGACTCAAGCTGCTTATTTTCCTAAGTTCTACTGCTAGAGGATCCCATGAAATGACCCACCCACTGGAGACTGGAAAGTGCCACCAGCCTTGAGCTTTCCAAGTGACTCACGCACGTGCAGCTCTCAAGCATATGCAAATGTGAAGATTGGCCTTTTCCTGGTCACCTTATTACCTTTTTGGCCTTAGCTGATGATCATTTCCAAAGACATGCCTCAATGTAGCTGGTATCTCTCACTAGGTAACTGCAGAGCTCAGAGGATCCTCTGTGTGATGCTACTCTGGAAGAGAGTGCTCCACTATGTAGGCAATAGAAACTGACTTAATCTTGCCAAAAAAATGCAAATTTCTGTTTTTAACATCATATTCTTGTTTAACTTCTATTTTGGGACAATTGTGAAAAGAGTCAGGGAAAGACTGAATCTGATGAAATGTAGGCCAAGCAGGCATCTCCTAAGGGGGCGGGAGGTGGGGGTGAGGTTCGGGGAATGGGGTAGCAACAAAGCCCATCCTAGAACACAATAGAACTTTGGAAATGTTCACACTCCACAGTTCACAAACAAATTTGCTATAAGGGTGAAAACAGATAAAAACAGAAATGGAGCTGTGCCAAATTGAGGAAAAGTGAAATGGGAAGTTTAGGGCAGAAAGCCAATCAATAGAAGACTACATTAGTCTCTGGAACTTCAATTGCTTCAGAAGATGGACATTTTATACAACACACTAGCCAGGAGACCATGCTGCATGTATGCTAGGCTCGCCTTGCAAAGATCCAGAAAAACATGTCTGACTCAGGGTAACCCCTGGAATCGATGCAGAATGAAACCAGAAACACCTCTCAGGTCTACTGTAGGTCAGAATGTAAGCAGATGTGCCCTGTACCCTATACCCACAAAACACCTTTCAGATGGTAACATAACGCATGCAAACCCATTCTCTTCATCTTAGATTCTGATGACAAATATGACAAAGGAGGATGTACTTATGCTCTGATATATGCCACCTAGCCATGTACAGTACATCCTAAAAACACTTGGTTTAAAAGCAGTTTTTTTCTCCCAGAGTTTCTCACACTGAAAGCCTCAACTTCAGTAACATCCCAGAGCCTGGTTTCCTAGAAGAACCATGCCCTGGAAGTTCTGGAAAGCTGGTATTTTCCTGTAGGATATCCTTGAATCTGGCAGGAGGACAGTTCATCTTTGTATGTCTGCATTAGGAAAGAGGACAGTGCCTCACCATCCTGTGGTGCAAATCACAAACACCAAAGCAGTGAAGTGCAATCAAGGAGGAAATGTCAAAAGCTGAAGACGATTAATGAAAAGCAGTCTGTCACCAAGCCATCTTACCTGTCTGCGGATTATTTCAAGGTCTCTTTTGGCTTTATTCACCAGGTTTTGAATTTCTACAGGGTCTTTTACATTCTGATTTTCTCGGAAGGCATCTCTTATTCTCCTGACAGCATACATTCTAATGAATTCAGAGAAAAAGAGAAAAGATGTCAGCAGGTAAAAGATTCTGCTTTTAAATAAATTAAAAAAAAAAATTCCCCCTTAGAATTAACAGTTGAATATTCTCCTACAGGTAGCCCAGTTTGATCTCTGCTTGTCTATTCAAGGATGGCTAAGCAAGCAGATTTAGGAAAATAAGTCTGTCCCAAACAGGGCACAGATAAAGGGCAAACTGCTGCTGGAATGCTCCTTAGATCACTGGCTCTTTAGAGTTATGCATGCTGGTTTCCCTCCATTAGCATGGACGACTGAACCTTCACTGTGCAGAGACAAACCACGAATTCCAAGGACAAGTGATGCTTTTCATATGCATCTGCAAGGACAGTGATCACCTGCCCATTAGATGACAGCTGGGTAAGCAGGCCCCCGACATGTCGGGTGTACTTTTTATGACACAGTGTCTGTTCTTCATCACACCAACTTCTCCTCCAAAGCACTTTCCTATTTATGTTAATAGAAATAGAAAAGGTACAAAATGTTTTAATTCTACTTTTTTAGAGACAGGGTCTTGTCATGTAGGCCAGGCTGGTCTGTAGCTTACAACTCTCCTGCCTTGGCCTCAGGAATGTTGGTATTATAAGCATGCATCACAATTCCTTGCTTAATTCTAACATATAGTTTCTCTTTTTCTTTCTTCCTTCTTTTTTTGGTTTCCTTTTTTCAAGACAGGGTTTCTCTGTGTAGCCCTGGCTGTCCTGTCCTTTCTCTGTAAACCAGCTGGCCTTGAACTCAGAGGTCTGTCTTCTGCTGCCTCCTGAGTGTGCTGGGGTTAAAGGCATGTACCATCACCACCTGGCTTAATTCTAATATTTAATTCATCCACAAACTGGTTCCATACCAAGAACTGATCTCCAGGGCTCATGTTTTTCTTGTGTCTGTGCTCTAAACCAGGCCAGGCATGTGCCTGAGTACTGAGCTCTGCCTGCACCCTCAACCACTGCTTTAATTCTTCATTTAGGATTTAGCACAAGCTTTTGCAGGAATGCCACAACTTAGAGTAGCCATCAATAGCCTGATTTTTATTTTTATTTTTTTTAAGAACAGGTAACTGGTTCAGAATACCTGAAAGAAAAGAAGCACTGCACAGAATGGAAATAAATGTGAAGTTTTTCAAAGTTTAAGAAAATCAGAGAGTTGCTTAAGGTGCTTTACAATTTATACCAACTGAACTCACGGTCGAGTTCAGAATATTTGGCTCTACACTTTTTTAATATCCTCAGCTTCCTAAAACCCTTGCCTAAGGAAATTTGGCTATATACTTCAGAATTAAAGATGCCAAAAGCCAGATGGTGAGATGGCTCAGTGGGTAAAGGTATTTCCTGCTCAAGCCTGGTGATCTGAGTTTGATCCATGGAATCCACAAAAAAGTGGAAAGAGAACCAGTTCCACAATGTTGGCATCTGACCTCCATAAATGCACTGTAGAATTTGTGTGTCACTCTCCCCAATACCAAACACACACACACACACACACACACACACACACACACACACACACACAAACACATACAATGTAAAAAATCTCAGTTCAACTTCTAGACATACTTTGACATGACAATACTACCAATGGTACCCTTCTGTTTTTTGTTCCTTTGTCATGGTGTGTTATTGGCTCTAAAAGAAAACACTTCACTGGCTCAGAACCACAAAGATGCTTTTGCACAAGTAATTCCTTTCCCAGTTATGTAAATATGCTTTAGATGGTCGGTTTTGAGAAGATCAACATAATCTAGATAATCTGTCACATTGTACGAGGACTAACCACCAGTTATTTTTTTTTTAAAAAATTCACTCCTTTTCATTTATTTACTTCTGGCTACTGAAGGTAAACATTTACCATTAAACATATTCTGATGATTCTCAGCCTCTTGCCTGTATCTCTAAGAATATTTAAAAAAAAAATGTGCCAGTGCTATAACGAAAAGGTCAGCCAGCCCATACACAGGTGAAAAGGCGAGCCTCAAAGGATGCTGAAAGTTATCTATAAAACTCATATGGCACATAATGCTTGCACACTGTGCAAAGAGCTGTGTGTTAAAAAGATGCAAGGCATAATCTTGGCCTCCAGCACTTAAACGCCCACATCTATGTTAGGATCCAAAGAAAGACCTGAGCAGCTAATGTAAAGTCTCTTATTTTTTATTCTTCATCAGCATCCAAACTGTAGACGATCTGCTTATCCATCCCATGAACACACCTTTCTTCTTGTTTCTCTCCAATTCCAAGTCAAACATCCCAGGGCCAAAACAGCTCAACTCTTTTAACTGGTCTCCTTGGGGCAAACTCCAACTCCCACCAAACTCCCACCAACCTCCAACTGCCTCAGAACTGGGTAGTTTAAAATGTCAACTTGGCACAACTTAAAGTCACCCAGGCAGGGGCTCTTACTGAAAAGTTATCTGTATGAGGCCAGTCTGTGGATATGTCTATAGGAGATTGTCTTGATTGTTAATTGAGGTGGAAAGATCCACCCTGAATATGGATAGCACTGTTTCACGGGCTGGGTCCTCAGTTGTTTAAGAGAGAACAAAGTTAGCTGGCTGCAAGAAAGTAAAGATATGTGTGTTCTCTTTGCTCTTGACTGTGGATGTGACATGACTAGCTGCTTGAGTTCCTGCCCCGACTTCTTCTCAAGGGGAGAGGTTCTTAAATCTTGCTATTGTCTAGCTTACTGGTTCATCCTTTCATATCTTTGAGTCTAGCCCTGTTATAAATCTTTTTGACATGGTCATCTGTTTACATCTGGGGATTAAGTCTCACAATACACCAGGCCTTAATATCGACAGTGATCTCAGTGAATAGAGACTACTAAGTTTTGGTAATGTTAAAAAAAAAAAAAAAAATCACAGATTTTAGGTGGGTAAGGAGGTGTATAATTTAATACCAGTACCCAGGACACTAAGGCCAAAGTAAGTTAGTGAGAAATACAAAGGGAAAAAAATAGACCCCAGAATAAGGCAAAGGGACATAACATGTGAACACTGAGGATGAACAAACCAAATTGCTTAGGTGATTAAAGTTACAATGGAAGGGAATGTCCCAGAGTTGAGTATAACTTTACCTGACAAAACTCACTGAGATTTAACAACTAGAGGACAATGTTAAACTATCTACTGTCAACCCCCAACTCCAAGGTCAGAGTAGACAATACTTTTAAAGGAGAAAGAACTCAAAGCAGATGACAGTGAATGGGGCAGATATGTGCTCAGATGTGTATTTTCTAATCCTCAAAGCTCCTCACATGTGACAGTCCACATGGATAACAAAGCATAAATAATCCACAGTACAGTCAGTACCAAGCATGAGGTGTACCGCACCTGATACGCATTTTCTCATTCAATCCTCATACACTGTGACACAGAGATGTTTGATCGAGTGTATGGCAATGCTGGGCTCTGAAACCAGGTGATTATCTTTCAATCCTAAGCTATTCCACTGAGGTTAACAAACTATCCAATATTTGATAAGTTCCTGGCCTAAGCCAAGCCAAGCTGTTACTCATTTGAGAAGGCATTATAAAAACTGTCTCTGGCACAGAAAAGCTTATCTCTCAACACTGTCAAGTGTTCCCACAAACAGTTCAAGTGTCGAACATGTCTTACAAAAAGACAAGTGGCTGAGAGCCTTAGAGAGAAAGAGCTGTTGATATAAGCACCAAGAAAAGTGAAATAATTGAGTTTAATTGTTTCAAAAGGAAGCAACGACAACCCAAGGGTCGTAGAGCAAGGTGGTTAAATTACCATGAGAAAATACACTTTGGGGACTAAAACAAATTTTCTGAGTTCTGGAGCAGCTATCAATACATTTCTCTGTTAAAATTTTTCTCATTGTGTTCCACTGTCCAGAGATCATGGTCAAGTGAGTTATCAAGAACTCTGGGACACCTGGGCATCTCTTTCATTCCTTCTAGATCCTTGTATATGAACAAATCACCAGCCAGATGGAAAGGCATGCTTCAGTTCTCTCCTTGAGGCGAGCTAACTCTGTGTACATAAAATGTTCTTTTGCTGGAGGTTTATTTTTATTTTTGGCAAATTCTATTCATATCTAAAGATCTAAGTCAGTTAGATACAAATACAACAGAGGATTAATATCCTATTCCAAAAACCACTATACACTAAAGCAAGCAAAAAGAAAAAGACCATGGTAAATCAATGAGTAAGAGGTACAGAACAGAACTTTACAAGTAGGCATACAGAGACTAACTTTAGGAAGACAGATCTGTATGAACGGCCAGCCCCAGGCATCATTCAAGAAACACAAATAAAGTAGAGCTTGTCTGGTCTTCAGCCAACATATTTAGAAAAAGCCAAGGAACAGGTTATCCACCATACTGGTAGGAACATGAGCTGGAACTATAGCATAATAATGAGTAATAATATTCTTCAAGTTTAACCTGCAAAATCCACCTTTGGTAACTAATCCCATGGAAGTAATCTAGAAAAAGTTATTTGCAGAATGCTCACTACAGATATATATGCATTACAAACTGGAAAAAAGAAACATGTTCGACATTGAAGAAGTGGCTAAATAAACTAAGACACTATACTTCTCAGATAAATGTTTTCAAAAGTAGTCACAGGTCTAAAAAGTGTAAGGTGCTTATAAGTGGATATTAGACATTTAATATAGGATCATCATACTGAAATCTGTATACCTAAAGAAGCTAATCAAGAAGGAGGACGCTTCTTGACTTTAAATAAATTTAAAATAAAAAATTTGAAGACAAAAATTAAAAAAAAAGTATGAGGTGAAAATTTGTTCCTTCCTATTCTAGCCCCTCAGGCAACCAGCTCTTTACATGTAATTAAAGCTCAGTTTCTTTCTTTTTTAATAAATTTATTTATTGTTTAATTAATGACAGTTGATTCATCCTAGCTGTAGCCCCCTCCCATTATTTCCTCCCAACCCCCCCCTCCCTTCCCCCCCCCCCCCTCCACTGATAGGGGAGTCCTCCTCC